GGTTTATGGTGAAGAGGAGAAGGAAGGGAAAAGAGGAGATCGATCACGAACTCTGACGCTTCCTGCGGTTGGTGGGTATTGCGATGCCCTCACCTAGGGACTTCAGTCTCTCCAAGAATTCTCATGCTCTCCCAAAACACACAAGTGCAGAAATTTCTTGTAATAATCATCATTAACCCCAAAAGAGGAGGTGGTGGCTTTTAAATAGCCTCATATAATGAAGGAAAACAAAAGACCAACATGCCCTTAGGGCTTACATATGATTATTCCCTCAACTGAGGGTACAAAGAGAAAATGCAATAATAAACTGAATACAATCATGATAATAAATCTAATACAAATACTAAATCAAAAGTAAAGCGGTGCAATCGTGGTCATAGGTCGTCGGCCCCGTCTCTGATAAACTCTCCATGGTCGGATGTCCTCATCACTATCACTTAGGCTGTAGGTTTGTAGTGGTGTCCCCATTCTAAGTTGATTCTATAGAAAGAGTAAACTTCATGACAAAGACACTGCTTGCAATCTTGAACGATTGTGGGAGTAACAGTGTATGTATAAAATATTCTTCATCATAATTAATGGATCAAAATAAACTTGTTTCTTCTCTCAAGCTAGATGTCGAAGCTGGAAAGATCAACATTGTGTCAAACACTATGCATGAAAAGCTAGAAGTATAATTCCATAATGAGCCCTATCTTCTTAATAATAGCAAAACCTCTGTAATTGTTAGCTGTCCTACCTTTATGGTTTAAATGTAGAAAATTTACCAATTGCTTGATAAGTTTGCTTCTTTTTAAATTCATAGGATAAAAATTGGAACAATGCAAATTCTATCTTTTGATCTGCTCTTAATAAAGTATTGGATGTTAAAAATTGACTACACTTAAGGGCTATTTGGTTGCTATAGTTTTGAGTGCATAACATTCCAATGCAGGAGTTTTCAAAATTTATGTGTTTGGTTGGAAGAAAAAAATGCAAGTAATATTCTAAAGAATTCCAAATCTCACCCTTAGTTCAATTTTAAATATGAATTATATATTAGGCACGATAAAACCTTGATTTTTTAGAAATAAATACTAAAAATTACAATGATATGGTAAAAGGTTAAATTGTGTCACTTAGGTCTTCATTAAGAGTAGGCTTATATGACAAAAGGTTAAAAGCATGAGGGCTGGCCTAGGAGCGATAGTTAGGTCATCCCTTGAGACTTATGTACATTAAGAGTAGGCTAACAAAGCATAAGTAATTCCTTTTTTTGCCTGTTTTCCCGTTGCAATGTTGAATAGAGCAGTGACTATTGTACATTACTTATGATCTTGATATTCAAAATAGATTACCTATGATCCAGATGATCTAGTTTAAGTTAGGGTCTAAATTAGGCGTATTGGCAATATTTCTTGGTACTCATGTTTTGTGCCACAATATTACTTGTAATCATTAAAGAATCTCCTACAAATATAATGCTTTTATTTTTAATAAACTTGTGCTATGATCCACTCCCCCCCCCCCCTATGAATCATAGATTTGAATGAAAATAGCCGGAAGACAATCCAAGTAAGCAGGATCAAGCTCAAATACGGTGATATTGACAAGGCATTCATTATTATTGTTGTTGCATTACTTTGACCAAGGCATTGAGGACAACCATCATTATTGTGACATGATTGCTCAAGGCTGCTCAACAAAACATTTTAGGGGCAAATTTCCAGGTGACTCTTATACCGAACCATGATGATCCTTAGACATAGCAAACCGAGGTCCATGTGTGATGGGTTCACATCTTGAGAATCAAGAGGATGCATTTTCTATCAAGGCACTCTAGAGAGAGAGAGAGAGAGAGAAATTAGTTCAATCATTGCATCTCCAAATGGGATAAACAAATATCCACTATTAGTAGTGCATTTCCTTGGTTTGATTGTTTGGTGATATGCTCATTAATTTTTCTTTGGCAAAACTAATGTAAATTGGAATAACTTGTGTTTTAAATTTGGTTTACAGATAGTTACATTCTAAAGTCTTTTTTGGCATGAAAAGCATTTCTCTTCAAAACGACATTGGTTGACCTCAATTCTGGGTGATAATGTACATAAATACTCCGACAAACTTCATCAGTGTAATGAATTTCCTGTAGGAATAGCTGTTGGTAATTAGAAAATTCTTCACTTCATTTTTTTTTCTCATTTCAAAAAAATTATTGTAGAGTGATCACTTTTACTTGAGTTATGTGGGTCATTTCATCTCAAAAACTCAATTTGACGATGCACTAACTTCAATATCTATAAAGCTTTAAAGATATGTTTAATGGCTTGGCATTGTAATCACAAGCTCTTTTGTTTTATATTGAATGTATGAAGGATCTTATCATTTGTTAAAATCCCAGCTGTCCCTTGACACTTGATCCCACGGCCAGGATGAGAATCAGTAGGAGGCTCATGTTGATCACACCGATCTCTGTTAAATCCTAGCTATCCCTTAACATTTGATCCCACGGCCAGGATGAGAATTCATGGGAGGCTTACCAGGATCACGCCGATCTATTTGGGTGGCTGATTTAGGAAGGATTATATTTAAGCAATTATGCATTATTCTGTAGTTATTTGTTTCTTTATTAAGACATCTTGTATAGATCTATAAGTAGTGATAATTTTGTGTCATAAAATTAAGTTTTTTTCCTATCCAATTCTCTAAATTTAACATGGTATCAGAGTCTTCATTGCCTTGGTTGGAATTCTGAGTTTTTTTACTATTGGGCTTTCTGAAGAGAATGCCCGACCCTTCCTTTAGAAACAAAAGGGAGTAGGTTCCCAGCTTGTTTGTTCCTGCGTACATCCAACTGAGAGGAGGGGGAGTGCTTCATCCCGTGGTCTCTACGTTAGATCACGAGAGACGAGTGTCTCATAAGGAAGAGTAGAGCAAAAGCCCCACGGTCTCTGCTTTCGATCAAGAGAGATGAATGCCTTGAACCCCTCTCGCATGCGTGCGATCAAACAGGACGAGAGAGTCGTGGGTCCAGAAGATTATACGCTTGTGTATGGGGCATATCCAAGCGGGATCGTGCGTCCTAAAGCTTGCCACACGCGATAGCCTCCTCTCCTCTCGTATGCGCCTGGGGCGGAACCGAGAGGAAACAAGCAAGTGCTTGCATCCAGACGAGAGACCGTGTGACTGCATGGGACAAGAGATCGTGCATATGGACCAAGTGGGTGCGTGCATCTAGACAACTTTCATCTTATTCCTCTGGCCCCTGAAATTTCTCGCGTCCCCCGCATCTGATTCAAATCCTACCGACATGCACGCCGCCACAGGTTCCCACCATCGGTCTTCATTGCCGGAATTATGAGGAATACAGGTTCCCATCACCGGCCTTCATTATCGGAATTCTGAGGAATACAGGTTCCCATCACTGACCTTCATTAATGGAATTTTGAGGAATACAAGTTCCCACCATCGACCTTCATTACCTGAATTCTGAGGAATACAGGTTCCCACCACCGGCCTTTATTGTCAGAATTCTAAGGAATATTGGTCCTGCTTCCTTCGTGCGCCCAAAGATTGAGGAGAGATCAAGCGGGAGGGCTCTTGCGTACGTATAGAAAGAGCCGAGAGTTCCCTCTCATGCGGGTCTAGGGTCAAGACAAGCAAGAGTGCGAGATCTGCACTATTTTCTTAGATCAGAATAGATGGATCAAAGGCCTTGCGTGCGCATGTACCAGGGCGATCGAACAAGAGTTTTCGAGTGGAATTGGATGACTAATTTGCATTGGGCTGAAGGCTGGCTCTATTGGACAGGAGGAGATTTGCGTGGCAAGTGCTGAGCCGCTTGAGACATGTTTTTCTGCTGCTGTCCTTGAAGCTTGTCGCAACCCTAAAAACAGTGTTTTTTCCTATTGTTGTGCCTTCATTGTCGGTCTTCTCTTGTGGTTGCTATCCTATCTATAACCAATGTAGCCTTCATTGCTGCCCTTTGTCACCACAATGTCCGAAGCTAATTTCTTCCAAAGTTTTGATCAAATGGAGGGCTCTATGATGCACAAAGGGAATTGATAACTCTATTTTTTGTGACAAATTACCAAGCTGGGAATGCCATATCTATATTCCCTAGCTTGAGAGGGAGTGTTAAAATCTCAGCCGTCCCTTAACACTTGATCCCATGGCCTGGACGAGAATTCGTGGGAGGCTTATCTTGATCACACCGATCTCTGTTAAATCCTAGCCGTCCCTTAACACTTGATCCCGCTGCCAAGATGAGAATCCGTGGGAGGCTCAGTAGGATCACGCCGATCTCTTTCCATATTTGGGCGGCTGATTTAGGAAGGATTATATTTAAGCAATTAGGAAGGATTAATCTTATCTAGATCTATAAATAAGAATAGTTTTGTGTCATAAAATTAAGCTTTTTTCATCTCCAAATCTCTAAATTTAACATCCTTAATACTAATATGAATCTAATTCAAGGCTTTCAATTCCTTGAGCATCTGCGGTACTCTTGTTAACATGTAGCTTCTTGTAGATTTAAGTTGCAAGGCGTGCCTAAATGCTTTGATCTTTTTCCTTTTTTTTGTGAACTTGGAATGTGATTTAAAAAAGAAAGAAAGAAAAAAACACAATCTATCATCTTCCCTGCATCATAGTTTTCTTGTGAACTGTTGGAGTTACGTTTCAATATGCACTTTATCTTTGTATGTGCAATGCGATCCAATTCGTTGTTAAATTTTGCTATATATTCTCTTGTTATATAAATTATTTGACACTTTTTTTTTGATAGTGTGATGAGCGGTGAAACAAACAAAAATGAAGATAAGTTTAGACTTTTAAATTGTAATAAAGGCTTAGGTTGTATTGTAACTGTGCCCATCTTGAAGCATTTGTAGCTGAGGGCTCTTAAATATTTATATTACAATTTTAGATTTGATTGTCTGATGAAGTAGCATCTTTTCCCTACTTGCAGTACATTCTAAAACCCAAAAACATAATTTACTAATGGTCTACCTTAATTGCAGAGATATTCAAGCAAGCAGTATCCTTCTAGATGATAAGTTTGAAGTGCGCCTTGGAAGCTTAAGCATTGTATGCACTCAGGAAGGGGATGGCTATCAGAATGTGTTCTCTAGATTCTTGCGATTTTCACAGTAAGTTTATAGCTCGAACTTTTTAAGGTGATTGTTTTTATTATACATGTTATAGTACCGTTGTATAAAATCTGTAATTCTTTGCTAATATTTTAAAAATTAATGACTTCAGATTGCAGTTTATTTAGAAGATATTAGTTAAATTCGTGAGATTCTACTGCAATTTTCTGTTGAATATTTTATCTTTTTCTATCTCCTTGAAGAAGCTGATTGAAGATTATATGATCATACACTTGCACTTGAACTTTTCAAGCTATACATGTTTCTTAATAATTTATGTTTTATAGCCCTAGTCTCGATCTTCATTTATTCATTAATGATTGTTTAATGTGGGGATAAAAAAAGATACTGGAAGTTTCTAAATGATCATTTTTAGTATGGTTTTGCAGTTTCATAGGCCTGATGGTTGTAGTAAAAATTTGGCATAAAATGCTGCTGGGACGAAACTAAATGAACTTGAATGCGAGCAGAAAAGAACTAATGAACGAGGAATGAACAAAAAAAAAGAATAAAAAGGCATGCAATAAGTAAGAATGTATGACCTCATTGTCCGCGACAAAAGGACCGAAGTTAGGATCGGATTGACTTTGTAGGATGAAATACACATCTTTCAAGGCTACCTTGATGGGATAAAGTTGTCTGGAAAAGCATGCAAAGTTCATCCACTTATTAATGGCATGATAGTTATCAATTTTGTTTATGTGCACTTGATTGGTCTTATGCCATGTGTATCAAGCTACCGGGAATGTATGGAGTGAGGCGCATAGTTTCTTTTAAATCATAAAAATATGAAAAATATTATAGATCAAAGAAGATTTAGAACTATTAAAAAAATTGGGTAAAAAAAAGGCAAAAACATTCAAAATAGCCCCCCAAAATATATGCAAATGTGAGGGGAAATAAATAAAATTTAAAAAATTGAGAAAAAAATCTTGAGAAATTCGAGGAAGCTTTTATAAAAATTCAAAATAATTTGGAGGCTCATACTTAGTGATTTAAATCTTTTTAGGACTATATCAAAGCACATAACCTACTTTTTTTCTCCTAGTAGAAATTATACAAATATTCAAAATTCTAATAAATATAAAGAATTAGTTATAAACACTAAAAAAATATGGGGTAAGTGTGAACTCAATCTTATGCATGTCAATGCTTGCGTTGATACAGTTCATAATATGACATCTATTCTAAAACAAACAAAATAATACAAAATATAACTTGTCAAATCAACTCCTTCCAGCCAAGGATTTGGATCCCTCTTAATGGTCACGATTGATTAGGAAATGTAAACAATGCTCCTTGGTCTTCTCCAGTCACGTTGGCTTCTTTCACTAAGGAACCATACCAATATTTTCGATTGGATTGATTAGGTGCAATAAGTTAAGGCTCTTGGGGCTTACCCTAGTTGAGCCAGACTATTTTACCAAGGACTTGAACCGCTCATATCCATCATGGTTGATCAAGCGATGCAAGGTTCCAGGCCCAGCTACAAGTTTTGTGATAGCTATTAAATATTGCCAACATTAGAAGAACACTTATAAATAAAATGCATAACATAAAGGTGATTTATGCTAACTAGTGTAGTTATCCATCATGTCAGTTTGTGTACCAATATTCGAAGCCTTCATATCAAATATTCAAAACCTTTGGCTTCCACTTTGTAATTGCGCCAACAAGTCCATGGAGATCAAATCTCCAAATTGATCAAACACAAACAAGCTCCACTCCAATGTTGATCCATTATTAGCAAGTGAAGGCACTCCTCCCTAGTAATTAACTCAATCATAAAGGATCAACATAGACTAGATTAAAATGTCTTTACTAGTTATGAAGTACTTGATAGTGATCATCATTGCCTTTGTCAATAATGCCTCCACCTCGAATGATGCATGGTTTGAGTCGACACCGAATTTTAAGCCTCTATCAAATATTGAAAAATATTGTTGGGTTATACCTGTTGGGCTATCGACACCCCTAGCTTGCAAGTATCATAAAGCTAAAATTTAAAAGTTAATCATGACGAAAAGGACTTGTGTTGCTGCTTCCATCACCCTTGTAAACTAATTGCCTTACTCAATATAGGCTTTCTAGACAAATAGCTGAGGATTCTGTCACCTCTATGGTGGGTTCATTTATTGAAACATTATCACTAGAGGAGTTTATAAAACTATTATCAACCCACCTCATAACAAATCAAACAAGATATTTAATAACTAGAGTGGCTAGCATCTACTTGAGCCTAAGGAACTCAAAAGTCAAAACCCTAATGGTCAATTTTTCCAATTGGACAAAAACCCCAAAAATTGTGTAAGAAGAATTTTGAAGCTCATAAATTCTTGGCAACACAAGCCGAAAATGTGAAGGAATGCCTAATTCACTTGATTCTGTCGTAGTGAATAAATTTGATTGGAATTCAAAGTTGATATTCTTTCTTACTTAGAAGGTGAAAAATGATAGTGCAGGGAAGGCCTCTACTTGACAAGCATAATGGCAATGTTTGTGTTTCATAACTTCTCCAGCTTGATAGGATATAATAATGGGAACTTGAGAGAACTTCTTAGCATTTCATGAAGTCTATGATTAGATTTGTGGTATTATTCCTATTAGGCCTCCTCTCAAAATTTGAAATTCTTTTACCTCGATGATGATGGGTGCAATCTTGGTAAGTCATCATAGAAGGGGTTTATTTATTTTTTAAAATACCCTTATCAAAGATCAAATGCTCAAGGATCATTAGTTCATGCAAATCAATTTCCGTTACCTCAAAAGACGTAAAATTAAATATAGAATCAAATACAAATGCTCCCAAGTATGATTTAAAAATGCATTTGAGGTGCCCATCTCAAGACATGTCTCACCATAAGGTGCCTTGTTAGCTCGTAGAGGCTTACAATTTTCTTGCTTGAGTGAGGATTTAAATTTATAGGTTTAGAGTTTTGGCCAGTTTGGCGGAGTTGTTAATAAGGATATGTATGCAGGAGCTATTATTTCTGTTCAAACACGTAGTATATATATAACGCTGCTGAACTCCAATATGTTTTCTTCTTATAGTGAAGATGCCAAACATATTCTAATGATATTTTCCTCTTCTGTTGTGCAGGACACCGGAGCAAAGTGGCACAGGTATGTAAACTTAATAAACAACCCCTATCAGATTGACTCACTAGCTTTTTAACTTCCACCATCTCTATAGCCTTACCTAGTCCCATCATTTATACATATATGTCTTAATTTTCAATTTACAGGCCTGCCACCTGCATCATGTGCCTATGATGTCCATTGCTTTGGCAAGGTTCTACTAGAGCTGGTGACAGGCAAGCTTGGTGTTAGTGGCTCAAATGATGCTTCAACAAATGAATGGCTCGAGCACACTTTACGCTTCATAAACATCTATGAAAAGGAGCTCATAACCAAAATAGTTGACCCATTACTCATAGTGGACGAGGACCTGCTCGAAGAGGTGTGGGCAATGGCGATTGTGGCGAGGTCTTGTCTGAATCCCAAGTCGTCAAAGCGGCCTCTTATGAAGTACATTCTAAAAGCATTGGAGAATCCATTAAAGGTGGTTAGAGATGAAAACAATTCTGCTTCAGGCAGGTTAAAAGCTACATCTTCAAGAGGCTCTTGGAATGCAGTTCTCTTTGGAAGCTGGCGGCATAGCTCATCGGCGGACATGCCTTCTGTTTCAGCACAGCCACGGGACGACCGGAGTTTAAGACGTTCTGGTACGATTAGATCACAGGGAAGTGCCGGCGAGCATTCTTTCTCTCGCCGGAGACCATCCAAGGATATCTTCCCTGAGCCACAGGACATTGAGGATTCATAAGACGGTGGTCTAAAGCTGATTCTTTGGATAAAATGATTCATTGCAGGCTCCCTATTTGTGTGCCTGCCACCAATCAGCATCGAATCTGCAGGTATTCGGATCCTATTCAATTACCATTTGGATTGTCTGATGCAGTTGTTATATATCTCAGGCTTCGTTTGGGACGGCTTTCTTACTGCTTCTTAAACCAGTTTTTTAGTGCAAATTTTTATGCTAAAAAGCTGCTTTACGAAGTAATAAAAAAGCCGTCCCAAACAAAGCCTTAGTCTTACATTTTCTTTTTAGGCAGCTTGAATTGATTCCATTTATTTTTTATTTTTATTTTTTTTTTCAAAATAGTGGGATTGATCCCAGCTGCTTAAAAGTGAATTATATGGTTGTTGTGCAATTGTTTGGTAATTGGTGGGGATCCGAATCGACTGTGCAATCCTTGAAATTGTTCTCCTCAAAGGTGGGGGAATGGTTTGATGTAATTTTCATTCATTCTCTTATATTTCTGCTTTATAGAAAGTGGAAAAAGAAAGTTTTTTAGGGCAGCAGATTGGGTCAGATTATCAAGAGAGGTTATGGTGGTTATTGTGGGCTTGGGTTTTCAATTTTTCCCGTTGCAGTCTGGCATGAGAGTTGAGTTCTTATATTTTTTTTCCTAAATAATTAAATTTATTTTTTTTTCTTCGTGTGCTTTTACGTAAAGTTCGTATGTAATTTTCAAATTGCAATATATTTTTTCCACTCTTGTTTGCAGGTTTCATATTATTTTTTTCTTGCTTTCAAGAAATTTTTGTTTTAAAAAATAGTTTTACAAAACAATAAAAAAATCGTTCCAAATGAAGCCTATATCTGTTGGTAAAGTGGCTTCAAGAAATTGGTGTATAAGGATTAATTAATAGAAGAATTTTCGCAGAATATCCTCAAATTTGATATGAATAGATGTTAAAATCATTGGATTATTTTGAGATGAACATAATCCATGAAAATAAAAAAATAATAAAATTTTATGTTGCAGTTTTTTTTTTAGTGAAATGAAAGAAAAAAGCTAATTTAAAATGATGGCTTCTGCGGACCTTTACCTTTCTTCTTAGCCCCGTCTTCTTTATATGTTGGACTAGATGTGCTCTATGATCTGGGCATCAGAAGGTTTTGGGAAATTTTATCTATTTTTACGAGCGCATTGCATATTTTATCAGATTTTGAAGGAATGCAACAATGGAATTTTGGAAGAAATTTCGATAGCATGTCTTCAGTTCTTCTCATATAACAATCAAATGCCATGACTTCAATCCTCACCTATAAAATTATTTTATTTGCCAGCAAAACTATGATGTTTAAATAGTAAATATGAGTGAATGAAACATCTACAACGGAATGGACAAATGTCATTTTCCTAACTGTAGCATTTCTGTTTACTTTAATGACAGATTCCACTCCTGTTCACTATAAGAAACAATCAAATACTCTTTTATATCCTTCAGATTCCACGCCATTACTTAACATTACATGCAGAATACGCCATATATTAGGGCGCATTTAGGCAATGCGCCAAAGCACATGGCGCATTCTTAAATGCGCCAGGATGTAGAGCGCATTCTAGAATGCGCTAGCTCTTCCGATGTATCTGCTCCTTTCCAAATTATTTCTCATTCGTGTTGCTTTTCCTAAATCTAACTTAATATCTACTCGTTTTAAAAAAATGGCCTTGTTTTTTTTTTCCAACTTAAATTATAATCATTTTTCTCTTTCATTAAAATATACTTAAAATATATTAGAATTCAAAATTTTAAATACAAGATTGTTAAAATTATTTTAAAATTATATCACAATTTTCTCTATTAAGTAATTCTTTATTATCTTTATCATTGTTTCTCATTCTTTTTATCATTTTATTATAATAATTACTTAAATTATAATCATTTTTTCTCTTTCATGACAAATGACTCAACTCATGAACTTGCTTGAATTCATAAAATAAAATTTGAACGAACTCAATCAATTAATCAAACTCAAATTCAACTCAGAAATGACTCGAGCTAAACTCCTCTTTTACGCCCCTACCCAGATTGTTTCCCAGTTTTATTTTACCAGCCTGTACTTTAAAGATAAATCATAAAATGACACAATAAAAAAAATATATATTTTGGGCAGAGTGAATGTCTGAATCTAACTGATCAGAATTCTTTAAATATTATGAATTTTATTATATTTAAATAAAAAATTTACCTCTTAATAAAATACAATGAAGAAAAGGGAGTTTAAAGCTACTCACATTAAATATATAAAACTTGGTATATTAAATATATAAATAAATAAAAATTCAGTGGCATGCATGAAAATGCCCCAAACATTTCATGTTATAAAAATTCAGAAGTAATTCAGAAAGCAGAGAGATCTTAACGTGTGGAAGGCGAACTTGCAGCTGTAGCCTGCGAGGTTTCAGTTTCTACCACCAGTGTTGAAGACTTGTCATCTGATGCTCCCCAAGCTTTAATGGATTTCAGGTCATCCTTAGCCATTAATGTGGAGAACTCCTCATAGTCATAGTGAGCGTCGCTCCTCCCTCCAAATTCCTTTGGAAGGATATTCTCATCAAAGTGCTTCTGCATTATCTCTAAGCTTTCTTTGTTCTTTGGGTACACAAATTTCACCTTCTGGAAAGTTGTTGGGTCCAAGAAGTATTTGACCACCTGTACAGTAACAGTAGGAGAGAATGCAAGTACGATGAACAAGCTGCAATAACTAATGGCATGCTCTATGAAAGAAATGTAAATGAAAGACTTAGATATTTCAAATTTAGTTTGCTTACAATTACAACACAGCATGAAAACTAGTAAAATCATGATTTATGTACACAAATCTTGAATTCATTAGCTTGCATGTTGTGTTCTAATTGCAGGCAAACTAAATTTGATTTGAAATCTCTAGGTCTTTCGTTTAAGTGGTGGTTTGTGGTTCGTATTAGTGCATTTGATAAATCAGTTTCTTATATGCAACCTAAAACTCTTAATTGAAAGCCCTTAGTAGCAGCTCTTGTTTGGAAAGATCCTAAAATGAGTTGGGTTTCAACAGTAGAGTTTATATCACTTTTAAAAGTGGAAACTAGGTGTGCAAGTAATACATCATGGAATTTCAAAGATAAGCTTTTGGGCATGAAGCCAAACTCCCACTTTTGCCCTCTCTACTTTGTTGTTGTACGCCCATTTTATCTCATGGGCAATCGTGCCATTGATGCATGATGTGCATAGTGTAATTTCACTAAATTATGAGGAATGGTCATTAAACAATGAACGCTAAGTGGGAGATTGTGATGTGTGGAATCTGTTATTGATCAATTTGGTTATTCTATTGTCTCGGACCTCACCTCCTGCTTGGGTTCAGGTGCTCTGCACTCGAGGTTTTTTTTTCATACAACGCCCTGAGGCTGCGTACCCGAGCCCCCCAACACTGTGTTCCTAAGTGCCCCAGCACTGAACAATAGAGACCAAAGCGTCGCAACGACCTAGATATGGCGCCGCAGCGGTCAAGACAAAGACTGAGCGCTGCAACGTTGAGTGTTTAGAGTGCTGCAACATTTTCAAAAAGATACTTGGCGCCGTAGCGCCCCAAACTGGCTCCGCAGCGCTATGAGACGGACTAAACAGTTATTTTTCTCGTTTTTCTCAAGGGTTGCTTTCATGGGGGTTTATAACTTGGCTCTCTCGTATTTTCAATTAAGGCAAGCGTGAGAACGGTGCATGTGAGAAGAGAAGCAATGAGAGAGTGAGAGAGAAGATAGATTTGTTTTTATTTATCCCAATTTTCATAGTGGATTTTTTTGTGTAGTGTGGCTCCGTAGTTTTTTTCCCTATTTTGGATTTTTTCATGTTTGGATTTTTCCACGTTAAATCCTAGCATCCTTTATTTATCCGCTGCTTTTACTTTCTTGCTTGTTTCACATTATGGTGTTTACTCAATCATCTCATCTCCAACAATAGAATTTAAGAATAGGTGACTCAAATTAGATATGAGACAATACGTGATGAATAAATCATCTTAATGCCTGTTTGGTTGCTTGCAAGTAAAAGAGATGCTCTTCCCATTTTGAAAGTAACTTCAGACTATGATAAAGTCCAAATGGGGAAAATTGCAACCTTTATGAAGTTATTTCCCTACACTGGCTGGAAGCCAAAAGAAATGATTTGGGCCATTTGGCACATTTCCTCAGCTCACCACTAACGGGTATTACTTGTATAAGCAACCCAACAGACACGAATGCTAACCATAATGATAACCATAAAGATAGAAAATTATTTACCTTCCAAAAAGTTTCAAATATCCTCGGAGGATTATAAAGAAAAGCAACAGCAAGCCTCTCAGGATAGTGATTTTGCAAGACATGCGCTGTTTCTCGTGCCATCTTTATTGGGACTGAATTGCTTAAAGACCATCCTCCAAAATCTATGAGCCACACCATCTGCTCTTGACCCTCAGGTAAATTGAGAATTGCATTCTCTAAGAGATAAATCAGATGACGGAGTTGATTATCATGTGACGAGGTGTTCTACCAAAAACAAAGTTAACATTATTTTCCCCTTTAGTCATCCATACATGGAATGTCTTTCATGAAAAAGAGAAGTTTCACCTGTTTTCCAGGCCTCAGCACAAGAACAGTTCTGCCATCCTTGTCCTGAAAAGTTGCTCTATATACCTTCCCAGTTTCGCCTTCCATAGCAACTTCTTGCTATAACATTTAAATAAAAATGGCGATTAGTATTGGAAAAAGTACAAAACTTTTTGTGTTAATCAAAGAATTGGACAATAGAAATTACCCAGCGAATTTCTTCGGGCCTATATACTGATCTCCACTTGAGAGTATCTTCGAGCATTTTCTTTGATTTGTCAACATTCCAGCTGCGAGCTACCAAATATCTTCTGAAGCATGCATCAGAGCAGAACTGTTTGCTTCTTCCAGATATGGGGCCAATTGCAGATTTTAACTCATTAATCTGTGTCATCAAAAGGATAAGATGGATAAATGTATCTACAGAGGCATGAGATCAATACAGTAAATAGGAAACTTTTTTCACTGAAATGCATTAGCATTCTATAAATCTATCTCTAGAGACAAGACAAGAAATATGATTCCATAACACAGCATTCTACCTAATTTAGACTAGAAGTTGTAAATTTCTGCATTTAGCAATTCTTGATCAATGCATTAAATTGTTAAAGCAATATCAATAAATAAAAGCAAGGTATGCACTTTAGTATACATGCTGACAACCAGTATGAACTTTAAATGAGTGATCGGTTAAATAAGAATTCCTAAAGGTCTGTTACCGATATCTACCTACACAGCAGTTGACACAAAAGCAGCTTTGAACAGCAAGGAGAAGAACGAATTCTTATAACTAGAATTATATTATAGATTACTGCAATTGAGTCAGGTCTTAATAGTTTTTCCCCTACTTGGTTTTCTTAGAAAAAAAAACTCCGATCAATTAGCTTCTATCAACGCATGCTAGATCTTTACACAAAGGTAAGCTATTAAACTCACACTCTACCATCATAAATTTTGTAGCACTCAGTAATATTAAATACCCTCAAGATAATTTAAAGAAATTGAAATAGCAGTATAATCAACAGAATCATCATCAAAGTAAAATGGTTTCATAAATGTTTCTTTTATTATGCTAATATGGGTGATAAATATTATTGTGAAACTCTCACATTTGCAAGCCAATCCGTTCTCTATAGAAATTATGAAACCATTCATCATGTTATTTATGTTCATCATTCCATTTTATCAAAGGCAGGCCTCAAGTAGGGGTTAATTTGACTTTAGCACAAGCTAGAGTTCTCAATTTAGAGTGACAAAAACAACCTTTATATAACCATAACAGTAAACCTTCATAAATCAACATATCCCCAGAACCTACATTGTCAAGAACTCCATGCAGCACTGGTTATGCCTTTAAGGATTTTTTTTTTTTTAAACAATCCTTAGCACAAAAATAATTATGAAATGCTAACAGATGCTTATATTGACAAAAAAAATATAATATCATAGATTCGATAGTAAAAAGAAAGAAGGGGCGAGTACCCTAGTTGTTTTACAAATAAAATTTTACAATTAATTTTGCATCTTTTCAGTCTAAACCTTTAAATTTTCCTTTTTTTTTTTAATTTTGGCATTAATTGAACCATTATATCATCTAAATTATTATTACTTTTTTTTATGCTATTATAATTCAAACTCAGGTCAAATCCCCATTGAACTTTGAAGTTTTCCTACTTTAGGTTCAATATCAAATCCGTTCTTAAAACCATTATAAAGTTTGCCAACTCAGGAATCAAGAGAATGGTCAGTTATTCAAGGACGCATATTGTACAAACTAAAAAATGGCCATAGTTCAATCATGTACCTTTGCTTCTTGGTGCGTGCCATCATTCTCTTCGGTATGAGAGTGTTGCTTTCTACGAAACATGGTGCTTGTTTTCTGAACTAAGATCAAACAAACAACTCAACTTAACAAATATAATACCAAAAAATGGAAAACATATTGAAATTATTTTAGTTTATATGATTGAGATGGAAGCAAAACTTCAAATAAATGTCAGATGTGAAAAAAATTAGGAATTAAGTTAGAAATTTATAAAAACTTGAATTAAGCGTAGTAACAATAAGCTAATGTTTTAGCAGATGTGATTTTAGGAATTTAGGAATATCAATATTGTATGGCAATTGGTTACACAATAGAATCTCAAGAACTTAAAACAATTTCAATCATCAACATAAACTTAAATGTTGTTAACTTTAAATCCATCGCTTAACATTTAGAAAAGTCACCTTGAGTTTCCCTCACTTACGCTCTTTGGAAGGCTTTAGCGGAAAGAGAATCTCAACAAGCCTACCAATGCCACCACAAGTGATAGGACGCCTAGGGTCTTTATCCACGGAAAGTTAGCTGGAGGGGGGGACACAGGTAGATGTCCGGTGATTCGCCAATGTCCGGAAGGTAGATCTTCTTCGATAGACGGTACAAAGGTGAACAAAATGCAATTGATGTAATTCTCGATGGAGTCATTAACTTCTAAATTGAGGTCGAAGAAAGGGAATTGAAGAATATCCACTAAACCTTGCAGGTCGTAGACGAATCCCTGGTCAAGCTCGGGACCGGCCATGCACTAGCAAGAAAGTTGGTAGGGATGATTGTCTTCTTCTTCTTCTCTTGGAGTATAACTCATGAAAGAAGAAAATCCAAGAGGGAGGAAGAAGGAGAGAGGGGCGGCCAAGGGAGGGGAGGGGTCGGTTTTGCAAGGTTAGGGTTAGGGTTTGGGATGTGGCCAACCAACAAAATTCTGAAATTAATTTCATATTTAGTTAAATAGGAAAGGGGTTTTAAATTTTAAAATTTGAATCTCAATTTCAGAGGAGGGATAATGTAAGTAGAAAGAGAGGGGAGAGGTTAAGGGGTCGGTGGCATATATGGGGGGAAGAGGGGGAATTGTGAGGGAAATTAAAATTTCATAATTCCTTAATCCAATTTAGGAAAAGGTTAAAGAAAACAAATCTAATCTAAAATTAAATTAGACTTAATTTTAGGAACTTTCCTAATTTAGCTTGGTTAATTTAGGAAAGCATTTGAAATTCAAATTTGAATTAAAATCTTTCCCAAATCATTTAGGCTAATTTAGGCATATAATAATGATGATTGAAATCATCATCAAGAGGGCCAAGGAGGTGTGACCGGCGGCTAAGAGAGAAGTAGGGAGGTTAAGGGCCGGTGGGCAGGGGGAGGATGGACCGGGATTGGGCCGGCGGCTTGGTGGGGAAAAGGGTGGCCGGCGGTGTAAAGCAAGGAGAAGAGATGGCCGGGGTTGGAAGCAAGGGGAGGAGTCGAACCACGAGCCAGGGACACTTCCGATGACTGGTGGGTGTTGCTTTTTCCCACACCTTGGGACTTCACCACTTAAGAATTCACAAGCTCTCAAGAAGAAAACCAGAAATATTTTTATTAATCAACCATTAACCCTAATACAAGACTAAGGGCCATATATATAGGCCTCAAAGAGAAAAGAAAAGAAGTGACTGAAATGCCCGCAGGGCTACAACTCAAAACAAAACATAAGCAATGGTACAATCGTCCAACATGAAATAAAATAAGCTAATACATGAAATAAATAAAAAAATACAGGCTCCTAATTGTAGCCGTCAATCTCCTATGCTTCCGGTGATAAACATTCCGGAATCTCCTACTGATATCCTCATCAATGTTAGGAATCGAGGTGATTTCCTCAAGTAAATCAAAACATAGGCTTCAAATTGAATAGAGGTGTAAGTTTTGAATTAAAAACAAAAAGAAGTCACAAAATTATAAAAAATAAAAAACAAACAAAGTTCATAAAAACACAACCTTAATTCATAAAAGACGCATAATAATAAATCACTTGAAGTAGCGAATAGAAGTTCCGAGTTCATAAAATATAAAAACTAGTAATATAGGATAGATGTAGTGATGAGGTCATCGATAGGAGATTTCGGCGCGTCTATCAGAGACGACCACGGAGATCGACGACCATGATTGCTAGCCGTTATTATTGATTTTACTTGTACCTTCAGCTTTAGTATTATGTTTTTATTCTCGTAGTTTCCCATTTTACCCCTGCGGGTAGTAGTTGCTTTTGTATCCCCAAGAGGCATTTTAGACTTTTGCACTTTATTTTCTTTGGAGCCTATTTCATTCAAAGCACTAAGTTAAGTTTTTTATGCCATGCCCTAAAAATCAACATCATCATTATCATCAGCACCAGCAGCATCGCTTAAAGAACCATCGTGACATCTAATAACTCTATCATCCTCCCCATCACTCTCATGTGAATCATCCCATTAATATACTTCTTCATCCAACACTATAACTTTTTTATTTCCTGTAATAAGATTATTATAATAAGTAGACTCAAAATAAGGAATAATTAAATAACAATTTATTATATATTTCATAATGAATATACTTCACCAACCTTTCAAGGTATTTGATGTTTAACCTTGTTTGCATTTGGTATATCTTTGCAAACTTCCATTAATTTGTACTTCATTAATAACCTAAATATCAATATTTTCATTATCATCTGGTATACCAACACTTTTCATTTCATTTTCATCATGGTTAACCACCTATTCATCATCTGATGTCAAATCATCAAGAATTAAAGGATCATTATCTTTACATGAAGTTAACTTGAGGTGTCTATAATATAATACATCGATACACAACATGCGTTCAACAAGCCTCCGACACGTGTCGAATAAACCAAAGATGTGTTTGATTAAAAAATATTAAAAATAAATTGATCAAACATGTCAAACACGCGCATCTTAAAAATTTTATGAAAAACTCTTTCAAATATAATTCTTGTATTTCAAATTTTATTTATACAAAACATAAAAATTTAAATTTCTTTTTTCTTCTTCACATTCTCAAATCAATTGTCTGCACTCAATAACCTATTCTCCAAACATTCACATTTTCATTTCTCTATGGCAATAAGAGTTTCACAACACCCAATATCATAACAACATCAAAGTTTGATGCCATCACAACATTCTCCATTCAACCTCACTCCCTCATGATTTTCTCCTAAATCATTGCTCCAGTTCATAATAGTGATCCCCTCCCAACTTCCACAAAAAGTTAGTAACCCACAATGTAGTTGGCCTCATATGATCAAAGTGTTCAATAATTAGGCAAATTTAGTGCTAGTGTAAAAAATTTGCACGGTTTGAGTCCATGAGATGGAGATGTATTGGATACCAAATTGTCTCTTATCTAGTTGACTCTGCACTACATTTGCAAGACCTCAACCTGATGGTTATTGCACACTCTTTTGTGATGCGGTGCATCATAGTTATATTACACTACATTGAGCATTTTATGCTACTGACATTCTGTTAGCTATCACTATCCTTATTTACCTCTTTTAGTTTTATAGTACATGCCTTCCATTTTGGCCGCTAAAGCCTTTTCTGCATAGGCACAGTTAGTCCTCTTGTTAGCTGCTTGGATATATATGGTTTTGTGGACATTCTAAAGGAACACATAATACATATATCGTTTGGGTTTGAGACTTTGTTTTCCTTTTGTTTTCCTTCTCCATTCTTCCACAGCATACCTGCATCATTTTTGTTGGTATGCATTCATGTCCTCTACAAGATGGTTACAATCTAAGGCAGGACATGTGGTGGTTCAGCTAAGCTCGCCACCTAAGGTGATCGAATTGGACATTCATACCAAACTTGATGCACCAAATGCCTGGAGGGGGGAAAAGAGACCAATCCTAAGCTCCTTGAATTCCAAACTAGAAGAAAAGTTCCATTCCAAGCTCTACCAGAGTAGCACCCACCCTGGTGGTTTTGCCTACAAGAAGTCCAAATAGTTCTTCAAGTTACCCGGCTCAACTCTACACCTTCTTTCTCTCTTTCTTGTTGGAGTTCTTACTTTCCCTCTTTTTTTACCCTATCCCTGTACTTGACAGCTTATTGAAATAAAGGTTTTATTCGTGTCTTAGATATGCAGGATCATGCATAATTTTAAGTCGTCTCCAGTGAGTCCTATCTGGTACAAACATTTTCTGCAAGCGTCGAAATTTATTTTCCGCTTCAAGTCATCAACAGTCAACACTAGGAAATATAGGGAAGAACTCCCATGAAGTTTCCGTTACAAAAATATCTGAAAAGTAACGGCTGCTTAGAATTGTCAAAGTTTAAACAGAAAGATCCTGTATTACTGTATTAGGATTATTTTTAATGTGAACAGAAACCGTTTCATCACCCTCAGTAAATTGTCACCGATACATTGATGAAATTACAGTTCAATACTTATATATAGATTCGATTGCAGATTAAATTATCACCATTAAAAAGAAGTAATTTTGACGATTTCAATCTACAAAAGCTATTAACCCTCGCAATAATTAGCTTACCCACATGAAAATCTGGGCGATGGTAGAAAGTATTTCCCCATCAAATAAGCCAAGACAAATTAGGGTAAGAAAAAGTAAACCACATTAATACAACAGAAAATAATAATAATAATAATAAGTTTGCAATTTTCCACCTCCAGATCTAGATTAAAGTTCAAAGCCTGGTAATTGTTGTTTTGCTGTTAAAGAAATATATTTTATCTCGCACATGCCAAAATTCATTACGCAAAGCACTGTAGAGGACCCCAAAGGCCAAAAAAACGGACAAAATTGAAGACAAAACATGAGAGAATACATGCTGCGGAGGACAAATGGAGACGATGAGATATATTTACCTGATTTCAGTAGCACAAGAAGAGGGTAGAGGATAACGAAGAGAGAAAGCAAAAGTCAAAGTTTTGCTGAACCACCAAAGGGCGAATTAAGAAGACAAAACTGAAAACAGTGTAGAAGACAAACTATAAGTGAATACAGCGCCTGCGAAGAACAAATGGAAGGAGATAGAGAGACGTACAAGAAGCTTTGTGTAGCAGCTGAAGAAGAGGGAAGAGACGCAGAGTCAGCAGACAATGAATAGGGAGAAATAAAGGCTCATTTTTGTCTGCACCTCTTTCCTTTCCAAGGGAGGGCAGAAACCAAGCGAGACAAGACAAGTTACAATGCTTTACAGCTTCTCGCGCGCGCGCGCTCTCTCTCTCTCTCTCTCTCTCTCTCACACACACACACGGGAATTCAGTCTGATCTACCCACCTTCCCATTTGCAATAAAAAGTAGAGCTACTTGCTTACTTTTGTAGGGGGTAAGTGGAAGCCACGGTGCGAAACTGAAATACGAAATAAATTGTCAGCCATAATTATATAGGATGAATTTATTTAAATTTTATTAAACTTATTTACAAATTAATAATATGCATATATTTTTTATATTATGTAATTTAAAGTAAATTTAATATTAAAATAATATTGATAAGTCATCAAAAAATTATCTTGATCGGACACCAATCTCGAGAAAAAAATCAAGTTAGAAACTTCAAAAATTAAATTTGGGATCATCTGAACTCCGATTTTAGCAAACTTACTGTCAAATTGATCATCTCGGAAATACGAGCCCAACAACACCAAATTAAGCTAAATTTGAGCCCAAATGAGTCCAAATCAAGGACCTGAAGCGCTGCTGTAAAGTTTGAACCACAATTTGGGTTATCAAAAGGTTTCTAAACATAACGTGCTTATGGTAGAATCGAGCGACTCGACTAGACAAATCCAACGAGCCCAAGATCGCTGAATTTCATCATCATTAAGACCTTCAAATGTTTGACGAAAGATACACGATCAAGGGATTCAATATCGACAGTCCATCCAACCACTCCCAATTTACCCCTAATCTCTCACCTATTTACTGGCCATGCTACTTCATAAATCTATAAATATACCCATCATTTCTCTTGAAAAGTGGTCTAAGCAATAAGAGAAGAAGCAAGAAGAAGAAGAGGAGAAGGATAGGAGGGAAGAAACTGCTCGACCAACGCCGAAATTCTGCCTGACTTCCGACCACCGCCGGAATTCTGCTTGACTTCCGAACGAAGCCGGAATTCTGCCCGACTTCCAAGTGATGCCGAAATTCCGCCCGACTTCCAAGTGATGGCGGAACTTTGTTTGATCTTCAAGTGACGCCGGAGTTTTGTCCGAATACCATCTAACATTGGAGTTCTCCCCAGCCGCCGACTGAATTCGGACTTCTACCCAACGACGGACCTCCGCTCGTCGCCAAATTTCTACCTGACACCGGACTTCTACCCCGTTGTTTGATTTTCGTCGGATGACTATCCAATGTGGGATTTCTATCCACAGCTGGACTTCTACATGACGTCGTCCTTCTAATCTTCGTCGTTAGACAACGGTCCTTCTGACTTACGTCGCCCACCGACTATAGTCTTTCTGACCTCCATCGCCATACAACGGTCTTTATGACCTCCGTTGTCCGCCGACTATGGTTCTTCTGACCTTCATCACCAGACTATGGTCCTTCTGACCAAACGAACACGTCAACAATGATTCTTTGTATTCCTACCATATAATGTACTCCATATGATGTATATCAAGCCAAGGCCTCCCCCAAGGAAGGGTTTCATTTGTAATCAACTGCAATACTAGTTGATTCATTCAAACTAAGCTAGGCCCCATGATTTTTCCCCCCTTTTTAGGGATTTTTCACGTAAAAATCTTAGTGTCTCTAGTAAATGCTACACAATCTCTTTTTATCTGCTTGTGTGATGGATCTTCGTACAACGCTAAGACGCTAAACATTATATTTCTCTACCGCCGTGAATACTTCATGACGCAACATATATATATATATATATATATATATATATATTGTCAGCCATAATTATATACGATGAATTTATTTAAATTTTATTGAATTTACTTACAGATTAATAATATGCATAAATTTTTTATATTAAGTAATTTAAAGTAAAATTAATATTAAAATAAGTAAAGTTCGAATAGTACATACGACAAAAATATATATATATATATATGCTTTTGAATAATGTAAATATATAATTCATATTAAGATAATATCTTGGCAAGATTTGTAAGGATTTTTAAATACATGAAAAAAAAATTCTAGAAAATGAAATTTAATTTTTTTGAACATGATGATTTTCAACAAATATTAATTTGTTAGTAATATATATTAATTTATGATGATCTTCTTTGAAATTTGAGCAAATAATTTTAGAAAATTGGAAAAATAATAATATTTAATGGGGGAGGAAGATGGTCAATAATTTTTGAGTTAGTTATGTTAGTATTTGGTCTAATTCCGTGTTAGTTATAGGTGTACTTTCTTTTCTTTTTTTTTTAAAAAGCCTTGTATTATCATTAGTGTCTATAAATAATTACTAGAGATTGTAATAGAGGATAACTCTCCGAAGGCAGAGAAATAAATTTTTTGTTATGTTTTCTTCTCATAGAATAGTGAGCTCTCTACCTCTCTCTCTTCCTCTACATTCAAGAATAGCTTTTTTTCTCAAGAATCCCAACAAGCTATTTCATCAAACTTGATGAATTATCTCACTATTGACCAATAAATTCACATCAAGCTATTTTCTCCTTTTTAGCTAGACAAGCAATCTATTGGATGAGTGTGAGGGAGTCAGTCATTGCTACATCCATGATAAAATTCAAAGCGTGTCACAAACTCAATTTTCATATAGGATGCAATAATGATTGACTGCTTCACACTCGTCCAAGAGATCGTCTGCCAAGCAAAAAGGATCAAATAGCCAAATATGATTTTTTTTTCTATTCATGTATCCAACAAAATCTAAATTTAAATATCTTGCCACCACAAGGGGATCAGATCTTTTATAATTGAGCATTTGTTCTTTATAGATATTGAAAAACTTTATTTGCAACATTTTAATGATGAAGTCCTGGATTATTCAAAAACTTATGTAGGAAAGACAGGCACAAATATGAGCATACATTAAGTTCCAACAATAAATGCGAAAGAATTTACTCCATTTTTTGTATTTCAATTTATTCTTTAAGTATTGCATAAGATTTAATTTATTCTAGATGTTTGTGTTTCAATTCATTCTTTATAAAAAAGATATGAATAAAAATATATTTTTTCTAATATTTTATGAAATTTTTATTGTGTGATTTTTAATATGTTATACGTTTTGGTTATATGAAATTAAGTTTTCAACAATTGATTTTTCTTGCATAAATTTTTGAATATATTATTGAATTGCAGCTTTCTGAGAAGTGCAGTAGTTATATAAAAGTCTTGAAATATTCATATAAATGTTCATTTGAAGTTAGAAATTAAAAAGAGAAAGTTCAATTAGTATTTTTTTACAAGTAATATAGTTTCCACTAGCAATGGTGCACTTTTTTGGATATTGTATCAATTACTATTAAATTTCATTTGCATTCTATATTACATGGGATTGGAGATATTTTATTCTAAAAGGTGGGAAAATGCACTCTTTGTTATGTTATAAGAGCCTTAAATGTACTCTTCTGGTCTCATATGCTTGATGCAGATGTGGGAGGAATTTTGGCTCCACTTGTTGAAAGTATGTGTGAGAGGTTAAATAATACTATAAGTACTCTTCTAGCCTCATCTATCTAATACAAATGTGAGAGGAATTTTAGCTTCACTTTCTATATGCAGGTGTGTGAGATAAACAGAGGCATAAGAGGAAGTAAAGTTATAAGCAGATATCAGGACTTGTGCATTATAATTCTTACATTTTATAAAATAATATTTTAATGAATTTAATTTATGAAATATTTTGGAATATTATAAATAAACTCTAAACCTCTGTATGAAATTTATTAGAGAAATAAAAATGAAAGTGATATGCAAGTGATCATTTGAGAATAAGTGTTATGTATAGTATCTAAAGGCTTCTGTAAAAGTGGTAATGTGATTATAAAAGTATAAGTGCAAGCTAGCTTTGAGATTAAGTTTATAATGGAACTTTAATAAATTCAAAATTTACTTATACTTTAATTATTTTGCAAGTCTTTATGTTTTACTTTATTAAATGCTCTTAAATATTTATATGATATTGTTATATGTAAGGGATTAGATAGGGAGTCAACTGAGCTAGTTTTTATTTTTTAAAATTTTCAAGCAAATGAAAGCCTTCAGTGAAGGAAAGTAGGTCTAGAGGAAGATTCTCTAAGCTTGAGTATAAGGCAAATAATTTTGTAATCCAATTTTATTATTTTTGATGTATAGATATTTTGAGCTGGATTGTTGTAATTATATTTTGATGAAATTAAAATTGATTACACTGCTTTTATATTTTGAACAAAATCTAGTAACTCTGCAGGTTGTTGTTATCGGTGGATGAGTTAATTAATTATAAGTATAAGTAAATTCAATTTTTCATTTAGATCTTAGGATGGTCACATACCACCTGTCCTAGAATTATGAATGACATGAAAAAGTGTTATTACCATAGGTTAGCATATCAATAATGTAGCTATTGTGTCATAACTACTTGACCATGTGGTGCTTTTGGATTCGTCAAATCAATAGTAAAGATTGCTAGCGAGTCAAAGATGAAATAAAAATAAAGAAAAAAAGTCAAAGGTGAAAAAGAATAATAAATGCGACTTAGATTTTTTTGATAAATCGATCTACCCTCATATCAAGTGATCTGCCAAGCCAACTACCCCAATTGCCAAACTTTGGATGTTCCCCATTTGATTGTCACTTAATTCTTCTCAATGATTGATATTCAACATTTATTAGACATCAATGCCCAAATGATTTATCCTTATTAAGAGAAAAACTAAGCAGGTCGCACTTTATCTCCTGATTTTTGCCATTTTCCTTTGATTGTTAGTAGATATATACCAACATCCATTGTCCATCAGTAATGATGTGTGATGCCCACTTTTTTGGTTGCATAGTCTCACCTCTTATTAGATGAATGGCTAAGATGATCCGCGATCGCGTTCTATCTCCATATTTTTTATATTCACCATCAACTATCATCCGGCTCTCATCACTTGTCGACAACTGTTATACCTCAAGGCCCTTTAAATGCCTGCAATAGCTCATGTTATCATATTATATTAATACATTTTTTAGTTATGAGCATTGCGTTCTAGAAAATTCGCAGCGGTAGAGAGATGTGTAGTTTAGTATCATAGCTTTGTATGAAGATCTAGCACATAAATAGATAAACAGAAGAGATGCGAGATTTATAAGAGACACCAAAATTTTTACATGAAAAATCCTATAAAGAGGAAAAATCATGGGGTTGGGCCCAATTAAAATGATTTCACTAGTGTTCGTAGTCGATTACAAATGGTGCCCTTCCGTGGGGTAAGGCATTGGCTTGATGTATCATATAGATCGAGCACATTACATAGTTTGGTAGGAAGAATCCAATCAACAAACCAATGTGAGTTGCATATTAAGATATGATATCATACATACAATTGAGTAACGACGGTAAATCTCCCTTTAATAACTAGTTTAGGCTCCGTTTGAAGCATTAAAATTGATTTTTAAAAATAATTATAAATTATTCTAGAGAAATATTATTTTTTGTCACTGCAGATTGCAATTTCTCATCATAAAAAAATTTGAAAGGCAACCATATAACAATAGCTAAATAGATGTATATATTATAACGATTTAAAAAGCAAATCAATAAAAAAATTTTCCTAAATAGATATTTAGGTCTTTTAAAATTTCAAATTTTCTATCTAATAAGCCACTTAATATGAATTTTAAGAATTTCCAAGGACAAATAAATCAAATTATGGGATAATGTTTTTTTTTTTGCCAAATACATGAGTTAATAACACCAACTATAAAAAACAATGACAATTTAAAAATAATAGGAAAAAAAGAGATTTAGATGTACAGTCCATTTTGGATGAAATATCCTTTTTTTTATTCAAAAAAAAATTAATTTTAATTATAAGTAATACAATGGATTATCAAATTTATCCTTTCAAATTAAATTAGCATTATTACCATTTGCATTATAATAAAAAATTTTATTGTCATAAATAAATTAATATAATATTATTTTGATATTAAAATTGTTGTATAACAAGTAAATTTCTTCAAGTCGGTTTAGATTAAAAATTCGCGACGCTTTGCCTCTCCTCCTCCGCTAGGGTTTCGGGGCGGCGTGCCTCTTTTCCCCCTCCGGGCGGGGGGGTCCGTTTCTCAGGGAAGTCCTTTTTCTTATTTCTTAAATTACTAAAACAAAATATATAATTTTAATTTTATCATGAATATTATGATTACCTTACATTTCACGATGTGTATTTGCATGGTCTTTTCTACCCTAAATCAATCAGCAAACTCAATGCCTATAAATCTTTAAAGTGAAAATTTTAGGGAAAAAAAGTTGATGATCTTGACTTTCTACAACTAATAATGCGCATATTTCAATTTATTTATTTTTTTTAGAGAAATATATTTGATAGTTGCTTATAGGTATAATTATCCCCAATAAGAGAGAACCAATTGTGTTCCTCAATAATTTTTTGAAGTTGAAGAAATTGAAATTAATTAGAACTAATTCGAATTCAAATGTGGTTCAAATCCAAATTCGAACCCAAACTCAAAGAGGATTCGAACCATATGTTTATTTGAGCTCAAATGTGAAATCAAACCAAAATGTTCGAATCACTTGTGCTAGCTAGCATGTTTCTATCAATGGCTTCCTTTAGTAATATCCTGTCGTGAACCCCTCTTTGCATTCATGCACAAACTCTCATAGACAACTTTTCATAGAGAGCTCTTGTTATGAGTTGCTATCTATTTCACGAAACACCAATCTCATCAATGTCTACTTCCAACGAATTATCCTTCACAAGCTGTTGAATGCGTAATAAGCACTCACACAAATAGGAAGATTTTAACCCATCTCTCCTTTACAAGTTGACGGTATAGTAGACACCTTAACATAGTGAAGGGCCATTGTGAAACCTCTTCTCCTTCACATGCCTAAGATTTTGTTGCGAGCTCTTGTGCGGCGGGATACTCGAACCCCTCTCTCCTTGACTCCTTCACACACTGTTGATCCCTTTGACACCTTCTTACAATGAGTTGCGTTATGAACTCCTTTCTCCTTTAGATGCTGATGGCCAAGTGGGGAGCTCTTATCCAAATAGAGAGTGTTGGAACATTTTGGTTCAAATAAAAATTTGAACTTAGATTCGAACTCAGTTTGAGTCAGTAATGTTTGGATTTGGATTAAAAAAATGTTCTATTAATTAATATTAAAACATTTAAATGCCAAGTCAAATGAAAAAAATCTAATATGTGCAATATAATATATAAAATAAGTGCAATTTTGATTAAATCTATGTTCTTCTTTATAGAAGAAAATAAATTAAAAAGAAGCTTTCTTTACTGATTATTAAAAGGGTTATTTCAATTTTGTATTTAGTTTTAAATAATAGAAAAATATTATTTTAAACACTCATCTACTTTTAAATTAAATTTTATATGATTCAACAAAATTAAACTAATTTTTAATTAAATATGAATTTAAAATTTTTTACTTTTTGCTAATGATATTTCTCATGTTAATAAAGATAAAGAGGGAGTTAAAAAAAAAACTTCAATTATGGCTGTCAACTTTAGAGCTTAAATGTATTCATTTGAGTGGATTTAAAATTGAATGCATAATATAATTTTACTAGCAATAGATTTAGTGAGGGAGTGTGACTTTGAGTAATCAAGTCATTAAAAAGAGTACACATTTTACATATGTGGAGTCTATCAAAGTGATTGTGAAATATATGAGAATAAATTTTTTTAAATAATTCATTCTAAAATTATTAAGAAAAGTAAAAATGACCTTATACTTACGCGGTATTCTCTGTAGCCTAACAACAAATTCAACGCTTATAAATCTTCTTATACTGTGCAACCTGTAAGTGATATTTAAATACTCCATTAAATCATTCGTTGCCCTCTGTCTCTAAGCAGCAGCGATGGAAGCAACAATCAGCCAAGAAACATCGCCGCAGCCACCACTGCGAGGGTTTTTCTTCCCCTTGCTAAGCCCAGGCCACATGATCCCTCTAATCGACATCGCCAAGCTACTCTCCCGCCGCGGCGTCTCCGCCACCATCGTCACCACCACTGGCAACGAGCCCCTCGCCCGCCCCGCCATCGATCGCGCCAACTCATACTCCTCTCTCACCGCCGCCCTCCCAATCGAGCTCATCCTCCTCCCTTTCCCTCCCTCTGCAGCCGAACTCCTCCAATCGCACAATCGTGAAAATCTCACTAACCTCCCGCCCTCCGATTTCAGCCACCTCTTCACCGCCATCGCCGCCCTACGCCCTTCCCTCCAAGACCTCCTCCGCCGCCAAGGCGCCGACTTTCTCATCTCCGACGCCGTCCACATCTGGACCGCTGATATGGCTGTCGAGCTCGGCATCCCACACATAGTCTTCAGCGGCCATGGTGCCTTCCCGATCTGCGTCCACGAGAGCCTCGCCCTCATGAACCCTCTCGAGCGCTTCTCCGACGATGACACGTCTCCAATTATCCTCGACGATCTCCCAAACAACATCGAGTTAACCAAACCGGAGATTTCCGAAATCTTCAATGTCCCACCGATGCTTCACTTGATGAAACAGGCGGAGGAGAAGAGCTTCGGCATGGTGGTGAATTCTTTTTACGAACTGGAACCGGCTTATGCGGATATTTTCCGCCGCGGCCGGGCGGGTCGTGGGGCGTGGCTCGTCGGTCCGGTGTCGTTATCTAATGCGGCGGATGATCAAATCGGTCAGGCGGACCGTGGGAGCCGGGCACACCCGGATACGGACCGGTTGATGAGATGGCTAGACGCGCAGCCGGCTCGGTCCGTGGTTTACGCCTGCTTCGGGAGCCTGTGCCAGCTCGACGGTGCGCAGATGCGGGAGACGGCGATCGGGCTGGAGAAAAGCGGGCAACGGTTTATATGGGCTGTTAGGGACTGGCAAGGGGCGGCGGCAGAACAGTCAGAGTGGCTGCCGGAGGGGTTTGAGGAGAGGGTGGAGGGGAAGGGATGGGTGGTGAGGGGATGGGCCCCGCAGGTGGCGATACTTGGACACGTGGCGGTGGGTGCTTTTGTGACGCATTGCGGGTGGAACTCGACGCTTGAAGGTGTATCGGCGGGGGTTCCGTTGGTTGCGTGGCCGTTGATGTACGAGCAGTTTGTGAACGAGAGGTTGATTACGGATGTGCTGAGGGTGGGGGTGAGGGTGAGGAAGGGAGCGACGACGGCGACGGCAGATGAGGTGGCGGTGGCGGTGGGGAGAGTGATGGGTGATGGTGAGGAGGCGGAGGGTTTTCGAAGTCGAGCGAAGGAGTTGGCGGCGTCGGCGTGGCGGGCTATGGAGGTGGGCGGGTCTTCCTATGAGGACGTTGGGCGGATGGTGGAGGAATTGAAAGCCCAAGTCAGGCGTGAATCAGCAAGACGAAAAAATTAATGAGATGGGAAACATCATGGTTTAACTATCATATTAATTAAGTAAAAAAAAAGGCAAATCGTTATCCATTGAGCAATGCAATTATGACTTGAGCAGATTGCCTGCCAATCCTTTTACCTTTATAAGAATTTTTGAATTGTCATTGATGTTTTTGATCATAATTTTTGAAATTGTAGAAGGGGATTAGATGCTTCATGATGATTATTACTATTTTTAACTTCTTAGACAATTTTTAGAACATTATTTAAAAAAAAGAAAGTTAAGGGGTTTTGACGTTAAGTGAAGTGAAACTTGTTACATAGATAATAGAGAGATTGAACCATCTCTTACTAGGGTTTCATTAGAGGTTATGAATGATGAGTGAGAAAAGAAAGTTTTCAAGTTAGCAATAATATGATGGGATTATCTACTTTGTGAAGCCATGTGATGGAAACACTGCTAATGCCAACAACAAATTATGTCTATGTTATGGGCACATAATTGATCAACGTTGTTGTAGTCAATGAGAGATAACATGGAATATTATGGTGAGTGGAGCAACTCTTGATAGAGTTACATTAAACACCACATAGTTGATAGTGAGCAAGGAATGGTCTAGGTAGAGATTGATTGCATGATCAAGCACGAATCTTGGCCGGGCATATTCAAGCTGATAACTTGCAAAATTAAATTATGAACCATTCAAACTCTAATTTCAGCAAACTTATAATCAAATTGAACATCTATATGAGGCAAACCCAATGACACTAAAATTGGTCCAATCTGAGCTCAATTAGGTATAAATCAAGAGACCAAAGCACATTTTGAAGGGTTTAAAGCATAAATTGGATGATCAAATGATATTCAAATATAACATGCTTATAGTTGAATGGAGAGGTTAGAAGAGACAAATCTAACGAGCCTTAGATAGCTTAATTCCAATATCATTATGGAAGTTAAGTGAATTAATATGAGTCGTCCGATGGAGCACTTTGAATTTGGCCTGGATCTTCTCCATATTTATAGGGCATGCCACTCTAAAAAAATCTATAAATAAACTCCCTTTTCCTATGTGAAAAGTGGCTTAGAACCTTTGGTTGGAGATTGAAGAGAGCTCTGAAGATTTAAGGATCTAGAGCCCTATCCACGCACCACCACAAGCGAACTTCTGTAGGCCGACCAAACCACTCTCGAACCTCTGTCCAATCGCCAACCTTTGACTATCACGTGACTTCATCCCGACTATCGATTGATAATCGTTAGGTCATTGAACCATTGCATGGCCGCCGACTTCCGCCAGACCACCACTAATTTACCGACCACCGCAAGACCACCGCCTGGTCGCCAATCGTAGCCAAATAACCACTCATCCGCCGATCACCGTAGGACCACCAACCTCAGTTTCCCATCAGCCACGGTCCCTCCAAGCTCTGCTGCCTATCGATTGCGGTCCATCCAACATACATCGCTTGATTACGATCCTTCTAGCCAAACAAACATGCCAAAACTCTCCTGATATTAATTCTCATATCAATATATTCTTCCAACTTCCAACATATAATGGGCTCTATATGATGTACATTTCTTACATTGAGCCAAGGCCTTCCCTTTGAGGAAGGGCCTTATTTGTAATTAATAATAAACATTGGTATAGTCATTTTAACTCTGTCAGACCCTGTGGGTTTTCCCCTTTTCAGGATTTTTAACATAAAATTTTTGGTATCTCTTATGACTCTTGCACCCCTCTCTCTTATATGTATGTGTGTTGGATCATCGTACAAAGCTTAGATGCTAAACTTTAAATCTCTCTACCACCGCAGATGTTTTAGGACACAACACTTATATTACATTGACATGAATCTCCACTAAAATTTGTTAATGATGGATTAGACAAATGCAAATATTTATTGGAAAGTAGATGCTTGGGAATTATAGAACGAGGATAACCTAAAAAATGGTTCCACTTAGATAGAATGTTCTTGATAGTAAAAAAATCAAATAATGTAACTAATGACTTATAGATTTTATCTTTTCTATGACTTGCTCTAATCACTCACGTGAAAAGATGTGATTAAGAACTTTTTATATTAGAGATATATAGAATGTTATGTAAGGTGAAGTTATTATATATGAAACCCATTAAGTAAAAGAAGTGAAACTCTTAAATATTGAGGTGCCTTTTGGTGTAATAGCTAAATTTTTTTGTAAGGAATTTCACAATTAAGTGTGCCCATTTCGGAGCAATTCTGAAATAGGTGACTTATTAGAAGTTACAATTTTATGAGTCTCTTAGGCCAAAGCATATAATATCTCGATAATTAAGAATTTAGATTGTTATAAATGATATTGAAGCAATACACTATCTGGAAGATGGAAACTAAGTGCAATACAAGACAAAGTACTACGCCATGGGAGCCACCTCTTGGAACATGTATGGGACAAAATGCTAAATAATGGGAGCCACCACTTGAATTTGAGGGGCTACCTCAAGAATCATATTTTCCTAGTGGTTGATTTTGGGATAAAGATAATGACAAGGACATCTATTATTTAAGTGGTGGAGATTGTGAAACCTCTTAAGTAAAAGAAGTTAAACTCTTAAATATCAATGTATCTTTTTATATAATGGCTGAAATTTTTGTAAGAAACTCCACAATTAAGTGTGCTCATCCCAGAGTAATTATGGGTGATCTATTGGGAAGTTACACCAACAGGACAAAATGTCAGGCTCTTAGGTCAAAGCGGATAATATCTTGAAGTTTAAGAGTTTGAGCTATCACACTATATTTAGAAGTTAAGTAAAACTAGTGTGGGTAATGAAGAGACCCAAATCAAATTTGAGCATAATGTCATTATAAACTTTATATAATGAGTGAAGAATGAGAGTTTATGCTCCACTATGAAAAAGCATATGCTAGAAATTTTGTCAACATGTGTATTTGGTATAGGCTCATAAATGGTTAGTGGTATAATGGTCAAATGGTACTACAAGATGCTCTAGTAAGCGAGGCAACACTCAAAAGACTAACCTTGATTGCCCACATAATTGGTTGTTACCAATGTATGGTTTATATAAAGGTTGAGTGCTTGATGACGAGGACACTCCAAATTATGATCACTAAAATAATAGTTGAGACTATCAAGATTATTGAAGAGGCTATGGATGGCAAAATTGACCTTGATGGTGTGATCACGAATTAATATTTTGAAATTGCAGCGGTTGGAATTGTGACATCAATTGGACTTATTATGTTGATTGGTATCAAGTTGAAAAAGTTTTTGATGGAATTCTTCGAAGGAGAATTATGTGTCTCGAGCATTGATGCTGGGAGATAAGATACTTTTATTCAGTGATAGGAATATTAAGAATTTTTTTGTGTGATAATAATTATCATATAGTTTTCGAAGGAATGACGGAGATAAGATTCTTATATTTAAGAAGACGATCATGAAAGGTATGGCATAGGTGTGGGCAAGAATGTTTCACGTCTCATGAGCAGTAGTGGCCTAACAATGACAAGATTACACAAGGAAAAACGAGCAAATAATAGTAAATTGACTGATGAAAGCCATCCTAAGTTTCTATTAGGCATTTAGTTCATTATTTAATGTTCCTGAGTAGATCATTTGATATTGCATGTCTTCGTCATGCCTATTTTGATATTTTTATTCAGAATGTTAAAGAAAATTAGCGGCCAATGATAGGAGAACAACATCTAACGGTTATCTATCCATTTTCAGTAGCAAAATATCCATTCAAAGATTGATATATTTATTTCTCTCAATAATAGAAATCTTAGCCATAAATTTTATCAATCTTGATCTTTTTATCATTCGCTAATGAAATCCAAAATCATATTTAAAAAAAAAAATCTACAATATGTGTTGTTAGGATAATACTAAACATAAGCACACCTAAAATTGATATAATTTGATGAGATTCATTTATGTTTCATTTTGGACAGATCATTATTTTTTTCCTACTTTCAAGAGATTTTTGTACTAAAAAATAGTTTTACAAATGAGTAAGAAAACCGTCCTAAATGAAACCTAAATAAGAGTTTATTATCCCTCCTACGACCGTAACTTGTCTTAGCAGAAGCAAAAATACATAGGAGCATCAACATTACTCTTAAACAAGTTAGAAGATCACAATTGCAAGCACTATGAAATTTCATTAATCCTTTCTTTCCATTTGAAGGCCCTCTTGTAAGAATTAATTAAGAAATTAATTACATAACGTGGCTTATATTAATGATTATTCAATTTATTTTTAATAATTAATTAAATATTTAAATCCTATTGGTCAAGAGAGAGAGTTGGATCAATTATTTATGGACCGTTTGATAAAATGAAGCGCTCTTCATGAATGTAACTATCAATCCTCTTACTAACCTTCTGAAAGAGTTATATAAATTGTTTATATAATCACGTTGTTTGTATATAATGAAGATATTTTCAATGAATTCAAAATTTTCTTACATTTTTTATCACCATTTATCTCTTTGTCATATTTGTTTATTTATTGTTGAGGGGGATGTCAGATCTGTATTTTAAAGATTCTATGATAATAATATGTAGACTTCAAAATAGATATTTAATTCTAAGATTTTTTTTTCTTAAATCAGCGAACATATCCCATATCCTACCAAGAAAATATTTGAAACTCTCAAATAAAACTTTTTAATAAATAGGAGATATATCATATTTTATGCATAACTTAAAAAAATAAAAATAAAAAAGACTTTGTAACTTTAACATATAATATTATAATGCTTAAATATTATGTATATTATTTCTAAATGAATTTATGTGCGTAACAAGTTCCGACAAAAAAACACATTATTATAAAAATTTTCATGCAAATTTATATTTTGGTACTTGTTCCTAATTCAAAACTCTAATCTTTTCTTATGTTAAATTAAAGAAAAATATTTTTTCAATTAATTCATAAAACCTAATGTATGATAAAGCAAATAGCTTACTTCATATTTGGTATGCAGTAAATCATGAAATTTTTTATTTTTGTAGAAAGAAATAAAAACTTTTAAGAAAGAAAAAAAAATAATCCAATTATTTTAATCTTATTTTGTTTGATGTATTTTCTTGAATAAATTTAACCCGACTTTTTATTATTTTTATTCGGTATCATAATGAATCGATGAAATATAATTCATACACAAATTCATCCTACATAAAAAAAACAAAAAGAATTTTGTCATGAAATGAGTTTACTCAAAAAATT